ATACTTACTGTAATACCCTCTTTTTTTTTTTTTTTTTTGGTCAAATTTTTTTTTTTCCAAAATTTTTTGTTTAAGTTTACATTTTTTTAACAAACTTTATGGCCTCAATTTAGCTCCATATTTTTATATTCCATTTTTTTTAGTTACTAATGAAAAAAAAAACTCGGATTACTTGCGAATTACAGTTAGCTAACCCCCAGCTTTTTTACAAGTATTCACCAGTATTTTCACAATTCAATTTCTATACTGAGCTTCAGTTCTTTGAGGTTGAAAAACCTCCTTTTTATTATTCTAATTTTAAACTTCCTCCACAGATACTATGTTGGGCTCTGTCTGGGCCTCTTAAAGTATTAAGTAATTCAAGAAAGCAGAAAAACACTGTGATATTAAAGTATTTCATTAAAGCTGAATCTGTCCAAATAATTTTGTGCTAAATTGTAACTTATAAGATTCCAAGTCACAGTTTAAACGTGACAAAAGTATTAAGTTTTCTATTCTCAACCAGCTAAATTATCATATCTTCTTTTTTTTTTTTTTTTATCAAACTGGCAGAAATAGGCTTCCATACATGACTCTGCACTTTCACAGCAACAAGATTAGAGCTCTTTATTCCAGCCCCACGGCTTTTATTCCACTCATAAAAAGCACATTGTTAAGAATGAAGACATGGAGCTCGTACCGCATGCTGCAGAGCCAAGCTGACTGGGTTTTGTTTATTCATCTTCGGGAAGGAAGAACCTGATTATAAAAGAGGGCTTTCCCCATTCCTGTTTCCTTGTTTTAATGAGAGCTGCTTTTTACCTTTGATTATTAATGCATTTTAATTATGTTTAATCTCCTTTAGGCTATAACAAAGACTCACTAATTTAGAAGTGTGGTCTGTGTTTTTAGAGTTATACCAGAACCTTTGATTAAAGAAATCCTGTGATCTGTTTTCGTTCTTTAAACCACAAATCAGGTGAATAACAAAAAAATACAACAAATTGAAAAGGGATTTCTTCCAACAAAGTTCTGACATTTTGTGTGTGGTCAAAGTATTTTTAGAGGTTAAAATAACGGTTAGACATATGATGCATAAAAGAGCAGCATGTGGATCCCCTCTCAACCAACTGTTGGCTCTGATGAAATAACCTCATAAAAAATGTTATTAAACTTGTGACAATTAAAAGTCACCTTAGTTTCTTCAAATTTTTTCATTTAAAAAATTAAAAAACTTTGTTCAGAGTAGAACAAACAGAACCTATTTCTTTTCTTTGAGACTAGACATCTACAGATGTAGAGGAACATCTGTCATATCAGCTAAGAGTTGATATTTAAAGGTTTAGTGGAGGATGTTCTTTTTCTGGGTGGATCATCTAAATAAGTGGTCCTCCCAATTGTCAATCATTCTGGTGATATGTTTACGTAAGGCCGTCCCACGTGCTCGCCCCCATTTTCACTTAAAAGGTGGTGAGTCTGATATAGTGGAACATTTGCTAATGTTCTTTTAGAAAGTTAGCTTATATGAGCGATGCAAACAGCAACTTTTAAACAGAGCGTGCACGAGGAAAAATGGGCTCGTGCACGCTCTCGCACACTTTTCATAAGCCTTCCCTCTCAGAAGCAGGGGCAGGGTTGTGCATATGCATTTTGTTTTTAAGTGGAGAGGGTGAGTCTTTTAAAGAATTCCCAAAAAATCCTCCACAATACCTTTAATACAATGGAGAGGAGAGTTAGTGTGAATGCCATACATCTAAGATCACATTAGATTCTAGATGATAAACAAAATCCATGGTTTAACATTCTGCAAAGGAGGATGTGCTGTTTTGTTTTTTTGTTCTTTTTTTTTTTTCAGATGAGTAGCAAGAAGACGCCGAAACCACATTCTGCAGACTTTGCAACACCGCTGCATTGTTTTGTAATGTTCAACTCTGTCATGTTTTTTGAAGCTATGTTTTGAGTATTTGAAATGTCCAGTGAGCAAAGAAAAAAAAAAAGGAAAAAAGGTGAACTCTCATCAAAAGAAAAGCAAGAACAAAGAAAAATGGCTGTTTATTCCCAGAATGAAATTCAATCTCTGCAAACATATCAGTTTGTTGCTCACCAGGAAGCTTGTACAAACATTTCCCCACAGTGTTTGTTTGACGGATCTTTGGTTTCTTCCGAAGAGCTCAGAAGAACACACAGAACCCTTTCTGCCATATTACATTTAAAATAAAGCATTTTAAAAACCATATATGAAACATTCATTACCTCTTTACCTCTTCTTCCTAGGCCCAGAGAAACCAAAGAGATGTCCTGGTCTGGGTTTATTCTATGCTTTCCTGTCCACTGTATTCTTCTCCATCATCGCCCTGCTGGTGAAAACCATCCAGGGAGTCCATGCCATAGAGATCAGCGCCATACGCTGCTTCTTCCAGATGCTTTTTGTCATACCGTTACTCATCTACCACAAGTAAGCAGAACTCCTACTCTTTGCTTTTAGGAAAACATGGGAGAGATGTGTTCCCTTCATGCAGGACAATCTCACTTTTTACTTTGAATCTTTTTTTTTGTACTTATATGATATTAATAATTAAAAATCTGTCAGATTTCAGTCAGTTAATGAAAATATATCAACCTTCACCTCATATCTACATTATAAACAAACTGATAGAAACAGTCTGCTTCTGTTTAAAATTTGTCTAACCTATTGATTAATAACAAGTGGGTCAGTTTAATAATATAACTTGATCAAGACTGTTTTTAAAATCCCACACATTTAAGCAATCAATAAAAGCATTTATGATATCATCTTGATATAATGTTATCAGTCAGACTCAAAGCTGCTAAAATTTATATTGAAAATGAAAAATTGTACCAGGACATTTCTGCCTACATTAGTTTAGTGAATTAGAGTTCATTAAAATATGCATGTCCCTTCAATTAGTTTATGTTTACCCCCTCAAAGGAGGTTATGTTTGTAGGAGTGCTTTGCTGGTTTGTAAAGTTACAACCACAGTGGTATGGCACTTCAAATAAACTTGAAAAAAACTTGCCATTGGTTTCTTTTTAGTATCATTTACTTGAATGAGCTTAGATAAAATCTGACCGGAGTGTAGGGACAACAGCAAATATGTGGAAGAACTGCTCAGACCAGCTGAGACCAAAACTGATTAGATTTCTAGTCCTGCTGGAAGGTGAACATTCTTTTTTCTTTTACCAGAAAAGATAAGCATATCGCTTAAAGAGACCAAAACGGAACTTTTTCAAGCGATATGCTCATCTTTTCTGGTTTAAAAAAAAAATAAAAAATTGACCTTCCAGCAGGACTGTAATCGTGATTAATCAATTATTGAAATAATCGTCAACAAATTTAGTAATCGATTAATCATTAAATGGAGTACAGAGTCAGCCTTTTTTCAAGTCACTTAGTGGGTTGATCTGTCAGAGCAACCCACTAAGAGCAGCGATTATATCAAAATTGTAAAAGATTATGTAAACATTTTGCATTTAAGAAAGAAAAATAAAAATTTTCTTCTGTCGGTATGTTTAGTCAGAACTCCTCAAGTGGAAACATTTTAGTTGCACCTGGTTTAATTTATTTAACAATCTTCTTTAAGGAGCCTTTGGTGGTTCTATATTAATCGATTATTAGAGAAATTAATTGACAAATGAATCAATTAGCAAAATAATCACTGACTGCAGCCCTCAGCCAGAGCGGCATTTACCCACTTTAAGCCAGTATCTAAAAGAAGCTCAGGATCTTTTAAAAAACATTAACGCTGACTTTGACAGACTACCAATCTGTCTGCACAGTACATTCTAGGTTCGGAAGTCTACAAATTGTCATTAAGGTTTCATGATGACAATAAAAATTCTTGATCTAGATTCTAATTCAGTCTGACTGACTAAAAGTTACTTTGCCAAGAAGAACAAGCAAAGCTGTCGCTGTAACGACATTGAATGCTTTGTGCTGCTTTATCACATCACATGCCTGCTGAATAAAGTATGTTTATAATGTGAAACAATTTATATAAGCTGAAAAGCTGTAAATACTTTTGCAAGGGAGTGAATCTAATTATAGATGATTGATAAAAAAAGAAATGTAATTAAAAAGACTTTCTCTCATCCTTTTTAATCATCCAATTCTTTCATTTCCTACATTTGCCTTTATTCATCCTTTATAACCATCTTTTACTAACCTCTATTAGTGTCATATTTCCATCCATGCATCTCAGTCATTCGTGCTCCCTAACATTCGGCCATCTTCATGGTGCATCTACTCCTCCAGGATAGGATTCCTCGGTCCCAGAGATAAACGAATCTATTTGGTGCTTCGGGGTTTCCTCGGTTCTAACGCCATGATCCTGCTCTACTATGCAGTTCAGCAGATGCCGCTGGCAGATGCCACCGTCATTATGTTCAGGTGAGTGCTGATAAAACCTAACTGCATTCCAATTATTTTCAAATTTATAAAAGTTATTTAAAAAAAATGATTTTCTGCTTTTGTTTCTCTTTATCTATCCATGAAATTCTTGCAAATGATCACATAAGCAATCCAGTCTTTACCTCGCTCCTGGCTTGGATCTTCCTCAAAGAGAAATGTACAATCTGGGACTGTGTGTTCACTGCCTTCACCCTCACCGGAGTCATCCTCATCGCTCGGCCGCCGTTCTTATTCGGCGATCATCCCAGCGGCATCGAAGGCAACTACACAAACCACGTCAAGGGAACCATAGCTGCCTTTGGAGGTAACAAAATGAATAATTAGTTTAACTTCTTTTTGTACTTGTTTGAAACAAAGTTCTGATCTGGGTCATCTCCTCTCCTGAAAGCTCAAATGCCTTTTTTAAAGTCACTTTTATAATCATTGGCACAAACATTAGCATGAGACATTTGCTCGGTTTAAAAAAAAGTAGACTTGTATTTAATTTGCCTCCAAGTTTTTCACTTCCAAATGCTTCGACAAATGTTCCAGTTAAACGATCTCATTAAAAGTTTACTTCTGGCTCTCAGGTCCTGATTAATTTTCCTTTTGATTCACACAGATGGGTTACATCGCATCTCAAATGACTTCAGAGCAATTAAGCGTGGGATCTGTTTTCAGTTTCTTTGCTTCCTTTTTCCCTTTTCAGAGAAATCCTGCATTCAAACCAAAAACACCAGAGTGGCATTGTAGGATAAAGACCTATTATGTTTACTAAAATAGGGCTTCTGTGCTTATGCTCGTCTCAATGGGAGCCTCGGTATTTGTAGTTCACCTGATTTTTGTATTTTTTCTGGAAGTGTAGCCATGTGTAGCTCAGTCAGCAGCTTGTTGTTACAGTTCTATATGGTTTATGGTGGAATAGAGTAGTTCAAATACAGCTGGGATATTCAACGTTTCCAGCTAACATGTTTAAATCCTTTTTTGCTCGAAAAAATTGTTAGATATTGAGATCACCTTCTAATCTCTGCTTATTTTAAGGCTCCTCTCATAAGGAGTTCATTTAGGGAATAAGGGGAGTGTCTTGCATGACCAGCATGGATCCAGACAATGGTAGCCTACTGCTACAGGCTAACCATGGAGAGTTCCAGAGCTTCCTTGAAAGCCCCGTTTCTAAAATAACAGCTTTCAGTTTATCTACATTATTGGCTCTAGTGTCTCTTATCTTATTCTTGAAATACCCTTTAGATTATTTATGGGCTTTAGATCAAGAGAGTTTACTTGCCAATTAAACACATGGGCATTACAGGTGTTTGTGTTTTTTATACTAAGTGAGAAGTTCTGCTAAAAATGAGCAACAGTTCAGACTCTTATCTTTGTCGTCTGCGATTTAGGAACGTTTTTACACAAGTAAAGTATCACACTTTTTCCTTCCACTTAACTTTCTCTTAACATAATTAGCAAGCATTTATTCTTTGATTGTTTAGCCATAAAAAAATTTTTCTTTCTATATTATGAATCATCACACAGGTGGCTATGATATATCCATTTATTGTGATGCTTATAGGAAGAGGTGTGAGATTGAATTTTGTATGGAATTTAGTTTTCTATGGAATATAATAATAAGGATAATTCCTCTCGTGCTAATTGCTTCTACCTTTTTTAGGTGCAGTTGGAGCTGCTTTCACTTTTGTTGTCCTGCGAAAGATGGGGAAGAGCGTCCATTACTACCTCTCCGTGTGGTACTACGCTGTGATCGGCCTTATCGAGTGCATCATCTCAGTATCCATCCTCGGTGAGTGGAAACTCCCGTTCTGTGGCAAAGATCGTTGGATGCTGATGCTGATTGCTGCTCTGGGCATCGCTGGCCAGACCTTCCTGACAAAGGCGCTGCAGATCGAGAAGGCCGGACCCGTGTCGCTGATGCGGACGGTGGACGTGGTGCTGGCCTTCTTCTTCCAGTTCGTTTTCTTTAATCGTGCGCCGACCTGGTGGAGCCTCGGCGGAGCGCTGTGCGTCGTGTTGAGCACCAGTGGAGTTGCGCTTAGGAAGTGGTATATCAACACTCGCAAGAGCTGAAAGAAGAGATAGATGCACGGCTACCAGGCAGAAGTTTGTTTACCCTCATCATGGACACATAATGCATATTAATTGGAGTTTTTGATCATGCTTTTGAAAAATCACTTGAAAATCACATCTAGACTAGAATTTGGGGAATAATCCTGAACTTATGGGGGACATTCTCAAATCCACAAATGGTTAAAATTCTCCATACAGGCTCCAATTTACGCACAGACAAGCATTTATTTAAACAAAGTATCTCTTAGTAAATGACAACAACATCTCAGTTAAGTTTATCGTTTGGTGTCATTTAAAGGAGCAGTCCACTTCCTGGTTCCTGAGGCAATCATATGAGAGCTCCCAAGGTTGCCAAATAAGAGCGCTGAATTTGGTACTTTATGCTAGCAAAAAGAGCAACAGTGCAAAAATGGAAGCTAGTAAGAAAAGCCAAGCAGAAATAGTCTCAATAACACCTTAGAAAACTCGCCATCCTTCAAATGTATTTGACCAACAGCTTACTGGCTGAAACATCTTCACTCATCATCTTGAATTTATTTTAATTTATTTGTCTCTCTTAACTTGGCAACATGCATGGCACTTTCTGAAGGGGAGGAGGTAGGATTTCTGTTTAGGATGTTCTGATTTAAACAAAGAGGTGTCATTATTACTTTTACTCCTTAAACGTTAAACCTATGTGTTTTATATCATTGAACCCTTTGAGCATTCGGTTATGTCAAAGTATCAAAACTCTCGCTGCCGATTTTGATTAATTCAGAACAAGTTTTTTTTATTTAATCCTGTTTCAGTAATGCAGTAGTTTCGATTTCCTCTTGGAGGAAAACAACCCCACGGCATGATGCTGCCACCACCATGCTTAACAGTTTATATTACGTCTTTAGGCCGTGATTCCTCCAAATATTCCTCTTCTCATTGTTGACAAATAGGTACATCTTTGTCTCCTATGGGTTTCCATTTTAAGAACAGAAAAAAATTGGCCTTTGCCATGAAGGTGTTGATTTCTTTCTTGGTGATGTGAAACCAGCTGGCTTGTGGACTGTAATTCTAATATCCCAACTCCTTCAATTTTTATGGCCTTCAGCTGTAGTTCATGGTTTGTTTGTTTGTTTGTTTGTTTTTTAACAAGCTAACTAATTTGATTAAGAGGTTAAAATTTGGGGACAGTGGTTAAAACTGTCATACAAACTGATTTTTGAATGTATAACCCTTGCTTGCATTCAAATTTTGGAATAACCCAGACATTTTCCCTTTTATAAATGTATGAATTGTGCCTTAAAGCCTTAGAACCAACTAGAAATGGCTAAAAGTTGTTTTTTTTCCAATTCTTCTTTAAAAAAAATAATAATAAAAAAAAAGGAATGGCTGAAAACCATAATTAAAAAACCCCAAATTATTGTCATTCCTTCAGTAACATATTCCAACTTTATTTATAAAGCAATTAAAAACAAATATAGAGGCCAAAGTGCTGTACAGATACAAGCAAGATAACATGTAAGGTTCAAACAAGGTTATAAAGCCGACATAAAACAACAAAAGATCAACATGAAACCAACACCCATGTATTAAAAACCCAGAAGCAGAGCTGGATGATAAACATACAACACAATATCATTTCATTCAATAATGGTAATATGGCATTACCGATATTTCAACATTACTATCCATGATTACATTTATTAATTTAAAAACACCAAATATCTGTCATAAGTTTGCAGAGGTTTCTATTGTGGGTATTCTGGGGCTTTTATTCTTTTATATATATCTAAATATAGCATATTAACCACAATAAAGAAATATATGGTTCAGCCGTTCCCAGGAGGAAGAGATATTTCAAAGTGTTGAGGGAGGATGCCAGAGTTCAGGGTCTGCTACAGAGAAGGCTTGGTCCCATGTAAGCTTGGGCATGGTTCTAGAGAGATACAAGAGCAAATGTCAGCTGCCTAAGAGAAGGGAAACACATTGGGCTGTAAAAGCTCTGAGATATAGAGCAGGGTGAGGCTTTAGAATAGCTGAAGGAATCTAAAATGGATGTAAAGCCACTCTGGATGAATGAAATCGAGTGAAATGTCCTCAAATTTATTCTTGTTAGTTACAGATGTTAGGCAGCATTTTGTAGCATATGCAGATGTGTGATTAAAGACACCAAAGTGAAGGTGTGTTACACTAATCCAGCGGTGTGGACAAAAAGGCACCGATTAATCTCTCCTAATGCTTTTTGTGAACTGGGCCCTTATTTGCATCTTCAAGATGTCCATGATGAGTTTATGCAAACTGACTGATGGTTTATTGTTTCCACGTTTAATTTTCCTGTTTTTTGACTTTCATAATTTTTTTTTTTAGTTTACTTTGTACTTTGGTACTTATTTAATGCAAACAGGAGAGGAGATAAAACCATATTTAAACAACATGTTATCTTTAGATGGATTAAAACTCAGAAGCAACTTTGTTATATTTCTAAACTTGAATTTTAAAGAGTCAACATGTGTGTAGTTTGTTGTGTGCATTTATTTTTAGTCAAATCAAATCATGTTTTTCAGGAACTGACAAGTTTGGTTTGAGAAGAGTGAAGCGGTTTTAAATGACGTCCACTGTCTCATTTTTCTTTAACTTAAATTGAAAGCCAAAGAGAGTGTGGGACCTTTGTTGTTGAATCACCTTATTTAGAAAAAAATACTAGCTGTAAAACATTACTATTTAATACTATTTATTTCTTTATAGTGATTTGCACTTAGTGCTACTGAATACTTGACTCAGCTATGCACATACATGTTCATTTTTTTCTTCAACTTAAATACTTAAAACAGGGTTTCTGTCTAATTCCCTCAGGTGTTTACCATCTTTTTTTATGATTTATAGATTATAATTTATGAATCTATTAATTTATTTTTCCCATCTCTGTCCTTTGCTAAAAGTGCCTTATGTTAGAAAATTGGGCTGATGCACATGAACTGAATTATAGAAAGTTGTATAATTAACATAATTTGTATTTTGAAGGTGGTATTATCAATGATGTGTTAAAAAAAAGGCATCAATACTTTATTTATTGATGTGCATTTATTTTACACTAAAGATCTAATCTTTTGTTGCAGTAGATTTATTCAATATGGCCTATTTATAGGGTGGCTGATAGAGATTACATTTGCATCAGATCATATTTTCAAAACCAGAAAAAAAATTTATAGGCTTATTTTATAGGTTTTCTAATTGGTGTGGCAATTAACCATCTGGAGTGCGTTTTTTTCTAGTTTTCAAGTTAAAATTATGCTATTTAGAAAATGAAAGATTCATTTATTTTAAGGCTTTTTCACATTTTTACCAGCATTGCCGATAACCCAAGAGGAACCAGCAATCTATCTCTAAAACATCCTACGGGAATCATCAGCATCGTTCTCAGGTGTGCTAGCACTTTAAAGTTATCTATGAATCTAATCAGCAAAGCTGTAGTAGATCAGGTCTTTTGTATTTTTTTTTCACACGACCATAACTTCATAAAGTAACAGATTACCAAACATTTACAAAACACAATAGAGCTTTATGTGAATATCCACATAAAAGGTAATAGTTTATTGCAAGTATTTATGTCAATTTTGACTCTAATGATGTGAAGCTTAAGAACATAAAAATGTTAAAGAATTAATACTAAGATTTCTTCTATGATTTTTTTTACCTATAGCAAAACAACAACAAAAAGTGATCTAAAAAATAGGATTAAAAGCATGCAAAATTTAATTCATATACCATTGTCCTGTTTAAAAATGCTCCTAACGTAACCCAGATCATTCAGTTTAACTGTAGAACATCACAGAGGCTCATCTTGGACCAAGTACTCACTGTAAGCAATAATCCATTCTGTGTGAAAAACTCTCAGAAACTCTCTATGTATTTCCTTTGAATATTTCAGTAGAGCAGTGCAATGATGTGTATTCAGTTGGATTCTAAATTCTTCTGACCTTGCATATCTAAAAAGCAATATCAGTTCTTATCCATAACACTATTCTTATCTCACAGTCGGTTGTACAGTACAGTAACTAATAGCATCTAAGTGCCGCTTTAATCCTTTAATCGACATTTTAGCACCAATGTCACATCAGAGCTAATAAATTTAGTGCTACCTCGCTTCTACTTAATATTCTTAAGTTTCTTTGTAAGCATTTTTTTCTTACTAATTTTGATTATTTTAGACCCAATGGGAAATGTGTCATCACAAGAGATAAACTTGATCAATTTATAGGGTTAATCCAATCATGAGTCCTTTAAATCTGAATTTGCACATCTCATCTTGAATAAAATCATCTGTTTTTAATGACATTCCTTCTCTATGTGCCTTCTCAAGGAAAGAAATCTGGTTAATCTGTATGAAATGGATGCAATGCATGTGGTTACATTAACAGGCGGTGCAACTCTCTGCGGGTAGACAGTATTATTGACTCAAATAGAGTTGATATGATTTTATTGCTGTCCTATTTGCTGTGGTTTTCTATAAAACTATTATGTCAAGATAACCTGTTAGATAAGAACATTTTATTTATCATTCCACTTCATTGAAATGTTGTTTTAACAACTATTTGATTAACGCAAATACAAGTAAAGCTTATCCAAAGCACTGAACTAGAAATTTATTAGTTCTTTAGTGTTTCCAACTTTTTGAAATGTATGTATTTCTTCTTAGTGGTAAAAGAAAAAAAAAACTTTGAGTATATTATATTTTTATAATAAACTCTTTGTGTCAACAAATCCTTCTGTTTGCATTAATTATTTCATTTTTGTCCCTGTCTAAATGTGATTATTGTAGACAGCTTTTCTTAAGGTGCTTTGTGAGTTCTTTTCCAGGTGCTTCTTGCTTGCATGGTCTGCAGGCTGAGCTATCCTTTTGCAGACCACAGCTTGGTAAAATCCAGGAAGTTATGTGAGATATCAGACAGGGGAAAAAAATACAGTGCTGTCACACAAAGCATTTAAGCTATTCTCGCTGTTTTTGATGCAAGTAGTGAAGACACCTACTCAACACACACAGGTTTATGCTCTGCTTTGACTGCAGACGTTTAAATGAAATAGAAAACAATCTCAGGGTGTTAATGAGAGATTTTTATATTAGGTTCTACTAGAGTCTCCTTCTAATGCTACACTGAGGAAATTACCAATACTACTTCTTTAAAAAACAAGCATGAGTTTTTTTTTAATATCTTTTCACTACACTGTGGTGTTTCAGTCAATACTGTTTCACATACGGTACAAGCAAAAATAAAAAGGCTTTTAGCACACATTGCCAGTAGTGAGACAGAAAAAGTGAGCACCTACATACCCAATTCTAACTATTAGTGGTTTACAAGTAAACAATAAATAAATAGGATGCATTAATTAACAACTAAGTACTAATATAATTGTTGAAATACTCAAGTATTGATTTGAAGCTAGCTTGAAACTAAGATAAATCATCTGTCTTTATTAGTGGGCATCATGCATCTCTTGCTATATTTTGACTACTGCAATATCTACTAAGATAGGTTGGACCGAGGGCACATGTTAAAGTTCTAGGACCTGTTTCCCATCCCTGTAGTATACGATTGAGGTTAGGACTTAACACCTGACAGGGCTTAAATACAAAATAAAGAAAACAAATCGAACACTTGGAGCTGCAAAAGCATTTTCTAGTTGGTTTATTTAATTTCCCCCTCAGCTGGCAGGTACAGCACCCTATCCACCTAATAAATGTGGCTACCTGGTGAAAAAAGATGGACGAGCTCCTTCTTTACAGCTCAATCTCATCAGCAGCAGCAAACCTCTGATGCCGAACTTTCAGCTGTTGTGAGTAGAACAAAGTGCTAAACTCTTAGGTCAAAAGAGAGTTTATGTAAACAACGGTTGGTGTTCTGATGTCAAAATAAAACAAGACAAGTAGATGTCATCTTTAGTCATTTTTTATAAACTCTAAGCCTTTTTTACTGAGGGAAATCTCTGTTGTTTTGTCTGCTGTTTAGATTCCAGTAAAAGCCTGCATATCAGAAGCTGAGGAACGGGTTGTACTGATAACAAAGGAAAAATATTGCATTGTTCTTTAGCCTTGCAAACCAGAGTCCCACCAGAGGCAAAAACAGACTGG